TGTATATGTCATTCCCAAGATGAATTGATGCTGTATTGGCCACAAAAGGAGGCCCTACACCATACTAATAAATTATTGTGGTCTAAAACCAGGTGTTTCAGTTTCATTGTCCAACCCCTGTATATATATATATATATATATATATAAAGACAGTGAAATGCCAGTTGTTACAGAGCAGTATGCATTGCATGTTTGTTTCCAGCAGAGTAGCAGACTGCTCAGACTGTGAGGTGTTCACTGTGTTCAACAGAGAGACAGCCTGATCTCTGTCGCGGTTGGTTTTTCCCATTAGCGCTCTGTATTGCCGACCTGAAAGTAAAAGTCTAAACAACCTATGACCAGGATGTGCGGGGTCAACAGAGATGTTAGCTGCCTTATTTTCTGGCCCTGGACCTGCACAAGTCCTGGGTGGAAGGAAGCTCAGCCCTGATGATCTTCTCTGCAGACCTAATTGTTTATTGCAGTTTAGACCTGTCCTGTTTTGTAGATGAGCCAAACAAACAAACAAACAAATAAAATATGTTGTGGACACATCCAATGGAACAGTATCAGCTTGTTGTGAGTAGCTTCTAAGGTAGTTTGTTCCTCGCTGTCAGTGAAGTTTCCAAATGGGTGGAAAATGTACCTGTCAAAGTTATTAATAAATTCAGACAGCATTCTAGCTTATGTTCAGAAATTAAGAAGCTGCATTGCTGAAAGCTCATATGTTTTGGTTGGTGTACATGTTGCTGCCATATACAGTGCTGGTTAGAATGTTGCTTTAATTTTAGACTTTGAACTATGCATGTAAATTGTTTATTTGTCAAGACTGGAATGCATGTACAGCATAAGACTTCAACCAGTTTTAGCCAAGAAGAACAGGGTGCCCAAATTTAACTTTTTTGTGGATGTAAAAAAAACATTAGACAAATGAACCATAGCAGGTTACAAAGAAACTACAAGCTTTATGTAGCCACACTGTTTATGGCACAATCCCAGTTGTATATTTGACCACTCTTCTTACCAGAAAATAGTTTAACTTATCTTTTAAGCAAACTCCATGTATTTTCAATGGACTTGAGGTCAGGGCATTTCCAGAAGGTTAATGGTTGTCTGCTTTACCAATGTGATACTAGTTTTGGTACGAATTTGGCATCATTGGCCTGTTGGACCACTCATTCTATTCAGGTTCTAAAAAATATTCTCCTGTTTGAGTTAAACTACCACTTTATTATTTTTATTCACCTTTTTGGGATACACCAGAACCACTAGCAGCAAAACAGCCCCACAGCATTATATTGCCAACACCATGCTTGACATTTGGTAAAATGTTATTAGTTTTTAAAGCCTCACCTTTAGTAATAGTCTTCTTGTCATAGTGGCCAAATAGGTCAATATTTGTCTTATCTGGGCATTAGAGCTAACATTAGGCTGGTCCATCTGGGCAACAGCAAATTTTGGTCAAGCTTGGGGTAGGTGCTTCTTTGTTTGGTTGCCATGCCCTCAGTTCATGCTGAAGTTTAACTAACTTCACTGTGATCATTGAACACTGGGGTTCTAGCCTTTGGCAGTTTATTGTGGACTTGGGGCTAAAATCTTCTTGGGTTGTTCTTGAACATCATAACAAATGTTCCAAAGCTGGTCCCATTGAATTCAAATGAATATGCATCTCTAAGTTATCAACCTTTCTAAATAGGTTTTCAGGAAAGAAACTTTAAAATACCATTAAGGATACATATAAAACAAGATTTTTCCATTGATGTGCTAGCTATGAATAGCTGCATATTTATGACATATAAAATGTAAAAAAAAAAAACATTCAACATTTTCATTGCCTCAGAGACAGAGAGAATGATTGCACAGAACAGAAAATATGCCTGTATGGAGATGACACTGTCCTGAAAACATTACATTTGTCTGATATTACAACCAGCACACAGAGAGAAAATGTCTTATAGCAACAACAAAAGTGTAAAACTAATAACCTTAATATTTATCTAGAAGCAAAAGATAACATAAATTCAGGGCCCATTCTAGCTCTTAGGAAGTGATAATTATTCAGGATCAATTTCCATAATCCTTAAGCACTCATCATAACTGAAAATATCTGGAAGGGGTTTATGCCTGCACTTACTGGAATTATGGATTCATACCAAGCTTTTCAAATAAGAGCAAGTCACATCGTGTTGCTGTTGTCCATTGTTTCAATAAAAATTCAGCATGCAAAAAATAGTTTTAAGAGAAACGCCTCTTCAAAGCAGATGAACATATCTGCAAGAACAGACGTAATGCACCATTTCAAAGACTGATAATACAAAAGCAAGCAATATATTAGAATAAACAAAACATATGCCAACACTTTTGCATGGTGAATCATATAAGAACAGCTCTAAAGATGTGTTCATTTAAACAAATGGATATTATCAGAACAGTGAAAGATAGATGTTCAAAGGATGACAGAAAACAAAAAATCTATAAGCGGTCAGTGATTTTTAATTTTTTACAAATTATGTTTTAGCAGTTTTTAGAAATGCAATAAAATATGATATCAAACATGTAAGTCCAGTAATAAAATATAACAAAAGTTCATCATTTACCCTTTTTTTTCTCACAGGAGATTACAACACGACTATTAATGGCCTCCAGCAGGAGATAACGGAGCCCAGATGCTTGCGCTGATGAAAAGTCAGGGCTGGAGCTGACAATGGTGAATCACACGCAGATCCAGCTTAAACTGTCTGTTGTGTGATGATCGCTCACTTTTACTGAGGCACAGATTGCACAGTCTAATTGGTCAGAGTCCAATGACTGAAGAGGGGTAGCATACATCCTGACAACCTCCAGGGTGATCGCTATGACGTGTGCCAGTGCAATTTGTAGAATTTTATGTCCAAATTCACAATTTAGAGGACTGTGGAGCAAAACAAGGCATGGACAGCAAAACTGTCTTAGACATTCCTTTGGCACAATGGAGGTAAAGGTGCAGAGATTTGATTGTGTTATAAGGACAAGAAATTTCCTCGTTTAAAACTTCAAAAACAGTTTGTTCTTAGATATATTTGGAAAAGCTAGAAAAAGTTTGATTTAGGAATGCAAGATACTGAAAGACAGCTAAAAACTATTTCTTCTACAAGGCAAAAACAGCAACAACAAAATACTATAAATATCAAACAGATCTATTTAGGAATATTAAGCACTAGAAAGATTGGAGATCTGGGAGGTAGTAGTTGCTTCAAAGAGAAAAAAATAACAACAGATTTAAATTTTTGTCCTGTGCAATATTTTAAAATCTACAGGGGGGCATTCAACACAGTAAACACAAAGGAATGTGAGATGAATGCTCCTAAGTGATCTTGATGGGTGTTTCATTCAGTGCCTGACTCACAACAGGACTGTATTTTATTTTTTACAAAACTGATCTTTTTATCCACATTTCACCCAATATAATGATGAATTGTGATTGTTTGTTTCTGCCTGTAATGTATCCACTTGTTATACAGTGCCTTGAAAAACCACTTAACTTTTCACATTATGTCAAGATGACCTCACAAATGCTGATAAATATCTAAAAAGGCAAAAAAAAAAAAGATTTTTTTGGTACTAGTGGCCTTTATTGTACAGTAATCAGACAGGAAAGAGAGTGGAGAGAGAAAGGCAAGATATGCAACAAATGGCCTGAGACCGGGAATCGAACCCAGGACAACCGCCTCATGGACTATAGCCTCTGCTCATGGTGCACACACACCAACTGAGCCACCAGCAGCCCGAAAAGCAAACATTTTTATTCACTCTAACCTTCATAATTAAAATTCATTGCAAGCAGCTGCTTTCAAAAGTTATCTATTTAGTGAATAGTGTCTATCTGGCCTTATTCAATCTCAATATAAATACAGCTGTTCTGTAAAGGATTTGCTAGAGAACATACCATAAGAAACAGCATCACAAAGACCAACAAACACACCAGAGAGATCAGGGATAAAGTTCTGGAAAGGCTTAAAGCAGGGTTAGGTCATGAAACAATGTCTCAATCCAAAGACTGCAAGATACAAAGACATGGTTCTACACCTTAACTGACAGGCAGGAACGAACAGCATGCATAAGAGAAGCACTCAACAGGCCCATGGAAAAATCTGGAGGAGCTGAAAAGATCCACATCTCAGGTGGAAAAACCTGTCAGCATGACAACTCCTGCACAAAGTTTGCTACATCCATGTAGGGACAGTACCACTCTTAACCAAAGTAAAAATGTAGTAGAAGGTACTCTGGCCAAATGTGTCCAAAATATAACTTTCTCACCGACATCGAAAACACTATATGCAAAAGAAAACAAATATTGCAAATTACCCTGAAGAACGACTTGATGGCTACAGGTTCTTCCAGCAGGATAACAACCCTAAACATACACCCAAACCTACAATGAAATGGTTTGGATCAAAGCATATTCATGTGTTAGAATGTGAAAAAGGTTCAAGGAGTACGAGTTACATTGCAAGGCTTTTTCTTTTATTGATAATGGGATGGTAGCGAGTACTCCTACTTTTTTATCTTCCTCACTCATTCTGCTGTGCAGTAATATAGGCATCATGACACGTTCAAAGAATTCAGTTGTGTTTTCAACTGCATTCTGTGGTATGATATAAGAACCTAAAGCATAAAAAAGGGGTTGTCTATAACTTAATTCAGTTTTCACATGCACATATTACAGCATCAGAGATACTACAGTTAACACTGTAGCCATAATTTCATAATCTATGCAATAATGTGCTGTTAGAACCAGTGCTCATTCTTAGCTCACAAGGTAGCTTCACAAGGTCTGATTAGCATAAATTGTTCCTTTGAATAGTTGTCCACCAGTCTCTGACATCATAATTGTGATGTTTTTGAGAACTCTTCCACCCATTATTCCTTTAGTTTTAAGATGGTTGAGGCTTTCCTTTGTGCTACTTATTTCATATACACACAAAAGATTCTATAGAATTTAAACTTAAGTTTTCACCATCCTATGACTGGCCAATTCTGCATTTTTAGCTTTTTGTTGTTGGCTCTCGTAGAGTTCTTGAGATAATTATTACACTGAAAGCTCACCATCTGGGTAAAAATGTAATTAATACATAGATAAAATAATGTTGTCATTGAGTACTTCTTGGTACTGCACTGAGTTCAGATCTGAATCAGTGGAAGCAACCTGCTGAAGCAATCCCAAACCATATTACTGCAACCTCTGCACTTCTTTGGCGATACGGTGTTGTTCCTAAATGTTTATCTTTGTGTTTTTGTGAATTTTATATTGAAACAGGAAAGGAAGCAATTTTTGAGTTGGGTAAGCAGAGATGTCTAACAAAGGCTGCTCGTCAGACTGGCTGACAACACTCTGCTACATAAGCACTGTGGAAGCCTTCAGTACTTTCAAACAGCTTGTGGAGCAAGATTCTGTGTATGTGGTAGGAAAAGAAAAGGTGACAGAATGAAAGACAAGATCAACTGGTAAGCAATGTGAAAAACTATTGCCATGCACTATGGCTGGTTAAATACCCAGAATTCAGAATCCTGATTTGTGGCTTCCCATTAGCAACACCTAAAGGGCTATTTCACAGTTTTTTAATCTATATGTGCTGTGTTTGATGCACTGTAGTTTGACTTCTAAAACACTTACATATATTAGACATTAGACATTCCCCTCCTTGAACCGCCACCTTAACGTGGTGGAGGGGTTTGAGTGCCCGAATGATCATAGAGGCTATGCTGTCTGGGGCTTTAAATGCCCCTGGTAGGGTCTCCCATGGCAAACAGGCTCTAGGTGACGGGTCAGACAAAGAGCGGTTCAAGACACCCTCACTAGGACTATATGATCGAGGCACGTGACGTCGCCCGGTATGGCGGAGCCAGGCCTGGGGTCGGGACCCGTCAGAGAGCGCCTGGGGGCTGGGTTGCTCCTCGCGGGACCCGGCCGGGCCAAGCCCGAAGGAGAGACGCGAGGCCATCCCCCAGTGGGCCCACCACCTGCAGGGGGAACCGTGAGGGACCGGTGCAAAGAGGATTGGGCGGCAGACGAAGGTGGAGACCTCGGCAGCCTGATCCCCAGATGCTTAGGCTGCCTCTAGGGACGTGGAATGTCACCTCGCTGGGGGGGAAGGAGCCTGAGCTTGTGCGGGAGGTTGAGAGATATCGACTAGAAATAGTCACGCTCACCTTCACGCATAGCGTGGGCTCTGGAACCCATCTCCTCGAGAGGGGCTGGACTCTCTTCTACTCTGGAGTGGCCCACGGGGAGATGCGGCAGGTTGGGGTGGGTTTGCTTGTTGCCCCCCAGCTCAGTCCAGCCATCAACTTTGTTGTCGTATCGTCAGACCTTCGGCTGCATGTTTTGGACACCCAAGTTAAGAGAGGGGCTGAGCTGTCCATTGATCACCACCTGGTGGTGAGTTGGATCCGCTGGAAGAGGAGAAAGCCGGACAGACTTGGCAGGCCCAAGCGCATAGTGAGGGTCTGCTGGGAACGTCTGGCAGAGCCCTCGGCCAGGGACGTATTC